TTTTAGGGGGGGGGGGTTGCGTTTCGTTATTTAAAAGAATTCCGAAATTTTTCTTTTAAAACGATATTTACGAAATTTTGGAAATTACGAAACAATTTCGAAACAATAACGAATCGATTCGTTAATGGCGGACGCGATTGCGCAATACGCTAAAAAACCCTCCAAATGGGACAGGGGGAACTTCTGAAGCTTCCCTCTCCCTCTGTTGTTGACTGTTGGTGTGATAATTTATTTTTTTTATCACTGATAAAACAAACAACAACTATAAAACTTGCACCAGACATACGGAATAATAACGAAACAATTACGAAACGAATTGGAAAAATTCGTTTCGTTTTTTAGTTGCTCCTGAATGGTTCAATATCGCTTCGTTATAAAAAAAAATAACGAATTAATAACGAATTACGAAATTAACGAACGAAACCGCCCAGCCCTAATAGATAGATAGATAGTAAAATAAATAGATGATAGAGAGAACAGAGGATGGATGGATGATACATAGATAGGATGTAAAGATTGGGCGGATGGACAGATGGGTGTATGGATGGGATGAATGGATAATTGGATGGACGGACGGACAGATAGATAGATAGATAGATAAGATAGATGATAGAGTGGATGGATGGATGGATAAGTGGATGAATGGAAAGATAGTAGGATAAATAGATGATAGTACAGAGGATGGATGGATGATACATAGATAGGATTGAAAGATTGGACAGATGGGTGTATGGATGGACAGACAGACAGATAGATGGACAGATAGATGGACAGATGGGTGGCTGCACAGACTCATAGATGGATGGGTGGACGGATGGATGGACGGACAGATCAATCAATCAATCAATCACTGTATGGGACAATTTACAAGTAAAAGAAAAACAGACATCCATGCCAGGATCACCGTATCAGCCTGGGATTGGCTCTAGCCTCTTGCCATAAGAAGGGAGGTGGGAAGAGGGAGGCTGGGTACATTGCAGTTAACAGATTGTGGGCACAGTGTTTGGCCACTAGAGGGCTGGTGGGAGTTGGGGCTGATATATACAGCAGGTTTGAGCAGGAAAACTTTAGAACTGTCTTTTTAGGATTGTGGAAAGTAGGAATAAACCACTTGCCTCCAGCGTTTTATTGTTATGAACTTGATTTTAATTCCAATATGTTTTCCAATCTAAAACGCACGCGCACATACACATATATAGGGGGAGAAGGAATCAAACAAATATACAACTATGAAATAGAGTTGCAAAACAAAGCATCCAGAGGGGGGAAAACAGTGCAGTCAAATATAAATGAAACTGCTAAATGCATATAAATCAAAATTTATAAAACTATCGAACAGTATTAAGCTACAATCTCCAAAGTCTTGGAAAACAAAGAAGGAATTTCCATTTTAAAACCACTCACTTTATTATTTCTTTCTACTCAGTTCAAGCAGCTGGTGAAGGTGTTTAGGCTGCACCAGTCCTCTCCCTGCCATGTTATGCAGAAACATAGAGCCTTAGTCTTCCTCTCCTGAGTTTCTTCCCTATCTTGAGTTTCTTTGCTTTGCCTTCCCTCAGGTTCCCAGGCTTCAAGGAGGTGCGGCTGGTGCCAGGCCGCCATGACATTGCCTTTGTGGAGTTTGATAACGAAGTGCAGGCCGGAGCGGCCCGGGACGCCCTCCAAGGCTTCAAGATTACGCAGAACAACGCCATGAAGATCTCCTTTGCAAAGAAATGAGGCCTTCCGTGGCCCTCGCTCCATGCAATGCTTATTACCCCTTCTCTTCTAGTTCAAGCATGTAAAATGGCTTTTTGTTGTGTGAGTGTTTTTTCATGTTCTGCTCTGTGAGGTAAGTGCAGAGGTGTGTGAACAGGAGAGAGAATGAAAAGCTCTGTGGAAGAAGGGCAGGGAGATGTGTGTCTGGGTTTGTGTGCACCGTTCGAAAGTGGCAGCTGGTTCTCTGTCAAAAGCATTGCACCCAGGGTCTGACAGCCAGACATTGCACCTGGAGCTTTTCTGTTTTGGAATAAAAACATGTTTATTTTCTCTCTTTGGTTATGTGTCTTATTACTTGAATCAAGAGGAGAAAACTGGTTTGTATGCCCATCGGCCTAGCAAGGGAGCCTTTTCGGGTTTCCCTGGCTCATTCACTGAGGCCAGACTTAGGCCTTCATCATCTAAAATAAGAGAAGCAGCGTGGCATAGTGGTTTGAGCATCAGGCAATGACTTTAGAGACCAGAGTTTGACTCCCTACTCATATTATGGAAACGCCACTGGTAATTTTGGGCAAGTCACGCTCTCTCGGCTTCATAGAAAGGCAATGGAAAATTTTTTCCAAACCAATCTGGCCAAGAAAATCTCTCACAAATCGGTTGTCATGAATCAGAAATTACTTAAAAGATGTCAAATAATAATAATAATGATAATGATAATAATAATAATTATATTAAACAACTTTATTTATACCCTGCCACCATCGCCCCAAAGGGGACTCGGGGCAGCTACATGAGGCCAAGACCAACAGTACATTACAACAAAATAAAACCAGAACAACAAAACAAACATCACAAATAAATAAAAACATAATACAATAAAACAATACAAAATAATACAATGCAAAATCAATCACAAAGGGTGGGCCACATGTGCGAGATAAAATGGTAAAAACTCAGGATGCAATAGAGATGAAAAAGAAATACTTGTATGGGAGAAACTCATAGGGCCTATCGACCTTATTTCCTGGTTTTTGTGTGTAGCCAGGAAACTAGGCCATGCCTTAGGTCTGTCCTGTGTATATTTGAAATTGGGGAGAGGGTTGCCATGGAAACGAGCAATTCAGGGGAAGGACTAGGGTGAGGGAAATAAACTGTCAGTTGGAACTTTGTTGCATTCCCTAATGCATGCTTTTGGAATTAAAGCCTTCCAACTTTGTGAGGTGATTTATTCACTAGAACGCTACAGATCTGGACAAAAGGCATACAACAACAACCTTGAAAGATGCAGCCTTTTCCCCTAAGATGACAATTCCCAACTTGCCATGGGCTGCTGACTAAGGGTTCTTCTACACTCATATTTTGTGGTTTGTTCATACAGTCGCTTCCGACTCTTCGTGACCTCCTGGACCAGCCTACGCCAGAGCTCCCAGTCATACAATCCAGTTCAGAGCAGATAATCTGGATTTTATATCGCGGTATAGAAGGGGCCTAAACTAACCTGAAGATTTTCCCTATTGGCTCCAAGTGGCACATTGCATACTGAAGGAAAGGAGCCCTGGATGTGGGATAGTGGCAAACAGGAGGAATAAAAGCCAGGCAATCAGTCAGGGGCCTTTTAAATGCCTTACATCCTTGTGTATACATTAATTATTTTTTTTAAAAAAATAAAGAGTTTTGGTACAGTGTTCACATTGATCCATGGAGAAGTCCAGATTTTTTGAGTTGATTGACTAAAATTTATAGACTTACACATGCAAATAATAATTTTGTTGAGTGGCTCAAGATAGAGTATAACATGGTTAAAATACATTCAATAAAATGCCATTGCTGTTGCTCGCTTTTGGTCGAAAGATATTTAGCCACCTGCGCTCCTATTTTTATACTAATTTATGCAAAGCTTTTGATATGAAATAAAACCCCGTCTTTATCTATCCCAAAGGGGATTCGAGCCAGCTTACAATTAGAATTCCAATAACATTAAGATTAGATTAAATTAAAATAAAATGCATTGATTTTATTATTACATTTATTTATTACATTTATCATTTTACTCTATTATTACATTTATTATTTTACTCTATTATTTTATTACATTTATTATTTTACTCTATTATTTTATTACATTTATTATTTTACTCTATTGTTATAATTACATTCCCACTATTTACTTATTATTATTATTATTACATTTATTGTTTTACTCTTATTATTGGAAGGATATGTAAGCACATTTATATTGAAAGTTAGAATAATGGTTTAATCAGAGTTTTATGTAAATATTCAAAACATTTAATCTACCGATGCCTCAATTAATGTAAATTTACAAGGAGCTGCTGCATCTCCCACCCTTGGCTTATACTCGAGTCAATACGTTTTCCCAGTTTTTTGTAAAATTGTTTTTTTTGTAAAATTGGGTGCTTATATTCGGGTCAGCTTATACTCAAGTATATACGGTAATTTAATTTAGGGCTATCTACTCCAACTCCTGCAATATGCAGGGATACACAACTAAAGCATTCCTGAGAGATGGCCACCTGACCTTTGCTTAAAACCTGGATATTCTGAAACAGTTGAGAAGTTCTTCCTAATGTTTAGGTGAAATTCATTGTAATTTACAAAAGCATTTGCCAAACTGGAGCATCAGCCGCTTACTACGGATGGCAATTTAGGGATCAGAAATGATAGGAGTTGGATGTTTGTAATTCAGACCTGAACGTGGTCCTGGAGCTGCTATGAGAAATTCTATTATTTGGCTGTGAAATCATAGAATATGGAATCACATTTGAAAGTACAGCCAAGCCTTCTTACGTTAAAGGTGGAACCTCGCCGGCTGTGAGATTCCCAATAGCGTGAGAGGTCTATGTCTTGGATGCTGGAAACTATGATTTTTGGCTCCTTTTCAGCCTCTGGTTGCCCGCTTCCTTACCCTACTAAGAAAAAAGAGGACAGAGTCAGTGACGCACAAAGATCTCCACTGTGTTGCAAGGGAAGGTTAATTTCAAGGGCCAGCTTGTTCTCCTGGCTTCCTGTTTAGCCAGGCAAATACCCCAATTTGGAGCTTCCCACCCCTAATTTATTTTTATGGTATTAGAATTCTTGGGTTGCACAAGTTGTGCGGCAGGGAGCAAAATTTGGAAAATATTAAACATGCTGGATCCCCAGATGAGCTACATCCTATTCGGGATAGATGAAAGGAGACAAAATAATTTTAATTCTGCAGGGCAAAATGTCAGAAACATAAAAACATTCTGTGTTTTTGGAACCAGTTTTGTATGTGTGAATTGAGATTTTTTGGGAACATTATGGCATCCCACCAGCAGGTATGTCTCAGTGACAAGGGGGAAAAATTGATGAAGGCAAGGACCAGAAACACAGCAACTTCTGATTCAGATGCTGACCATCGAAGTGCTGTATTTCGTTCTGCAAAAATGAGGGGCTCGGTGTGGTGTCCTTTCTCAGTAGGGCTGCTGCTTTGCAGTTTTGGGGGTCCTGTGTGGAGTGGACGACAAATGGACAAACTGGCAGAGAAGAAGCTGTGCGCGGATACTGAGTGTGACCGTGAGTGTGTCTGCTTGCTTTCCCCTTCATTTATTGTGCCAAAGCCACACCAAAAGGGAGAAAGAGCAAATGGAAACGAATAAGGCAACTACGAATAGCCTGGAAACATAGCAGTGAATAACATCCTATGGATAAACCATCAAACATCCTATAAATGTTCATGAAGACTTATTTAAAGAATTCTCTTGTCTTATCTCCTTGTAGCCCAGAGCTGTGTACAATATATTTACCTAGAATCCCCCCTGACAGGTCTAGATGAAAAAGAAGTATTTCCAAGTTCTGGCTTTGCTTTAGATCTGACTGTAGGATTCTTTTCTAGGTTTCTGCAGATGTCTTTCCCCATGGGGATGCCTTTTATTTCATTTCACAGGTTGTTGTGGCTAAAAGATGACGACAACCTTGGAAAGGCTTTGGGAATTAATTGTGTTGTTTATTTTTTGCTATGGAATGGACATGACCGTGAGGACAGGATCATATTACTCAAGAGTGTGGGTAGTATCTATCTATCCATCATCTGCCTTTCTGTCTGTCTACTTACCTAGCTACCAGTTTGCTACCGGGCACAATTTAAAGTGCTGGCGTTAGTCTATAAAGCCCTAAACGGTTCTGGCCCAACTTACCTGTCCGAACGCATCTCCTCCTATGAACCAGCTAGGACATTAAGATAATCTGGGGAGGCCCTGCTCTCAGTCCCGCCTGCAACACAGGCACGCCTGGCGGGGATGAGAGACAGGGCCTTCTCAGTGGTGGCCCCTCGGCTGTGGAACACCCTTCCTATAGATATTAGATCAGCCCCCTCCCTATTGGCATTTCGGAGGAAAGTTGTTCAAGCAGGCATTTGATTATTCGAGCAGGCATTTGATTAGGCAGTGTAATGAATATAGGAACACGGAATAACGGATGATGAGATTGGATCTTGATTCTACTGATGAGATGCTAATGATTTGTTATATTGATGCTTAATTGTTTATTATGCTACTGTTTTAACTGTCCCTTAACTGTGTTTATGATGTTTAGCATTGCATTTTTGCTGTTGTTAACCGCTTTGAGTCCCCTAAGGGCTGAGAAAAGCAGTATATAAATGAAGTAAATAAATAAATAAATAAATAAATAAATAATAGCTGTCCATATATCAGTTCATATATCCATCCACCTGCCTATCTGTCTTTCCATTCATCCATCCATATATCTATCCATATGTCTATCTATCCACCCATCTGTTTATCCATTTGTTCATTCATCCATTTATCCATTGTCTATCCATCTATCTCTGTCTGTCCGTCCGTCCGTCCATCCATCTGTCCATCCATCCGTCCATCTAGCCATCTGTCCATCCGTCTATCTATCCAGCCAGCCTGCCATCTATTCATCCATCCATCCATCCTTCCATCCATCCATCCATCCATCCACCCATCCACTTACCTATCTATCTGTTTGGCTGTCCGTCCGCCTGTCTGTCCATCCATCCATGTATCTGCCTATCTACCTATCCATCCATCCATCTAGCCATCTGTCCATCTATCTATCCAGCCAGCCATCTATCCATCCGTCTGTCGGTCTATCTGTCCATTTATCTATCCAACCATCCATCCATCCATCTGCTTATCTATCCATCCACCCATCTATCCATTTATCTATCCATCCATCCAATGTCCTGCCTTTCTTCCAGCTCAGAATTCAAGGCAACCCACCACTAATCAAAAGAAAGCACAACTACAATCCCATTATTTTTTTTAAAAGACAATCAAACCACAAGCAATACATTCTGTGATAATCCATTCTGGCCCCGGTGTCCTTTCTCAATCCCCTTCCCTTTCCCCAATCCTAGACCCCATTTCCATCGCAGTGGCCCTCCAGGATTACATTGCTCCCGACTGTCGCTTCATCAACATCCAGAGGGGCCAAGTGGTCTACGTCTTCTCCAAGTTGAAGGGCCGTGGGCGACTCTTCTGGGGAGGCAGCGTAAGTAACTGTGGATATGTGCCCCGGATGACTTGAGCTCCCTACCAAAACAAAGTCTGGGACTGACTCTCTTTTGGGTTTGGGTGGCATAAGGTTGAAGTGTGTCCAAAGTCATGGGAAGCAGAGACAGGTCCCTGACCAAGAAGATCTGAAGTGAAATGTGACCACTAATGATACCACCTCAACTTTCCAAATCTTGCACTTTGTGGTCTTGGAGGAAGATGTCGTAATTGATATTTTCTCAACATGGCCAGCAGAAGGCACTCCTGCAACAGGGAAGCAAATTGAGAGACCTCACATGTGTTGTATGTGTTGTCAAGCTGCCTCTTGACTTGTGTTGACCAAGGAATTTCCTAGGGTTTTCTTTGGCAAGGACTCCTCAGAGGTGGTTTGACAAGTTCCTTCCTCTGAAATAGAGCTTACAGTACCTGGTGTTTACTGGCAGTCACCCATCCAAGTATTAGCCATAGCTGACCCTGCTTAGTTTTTAATATCAAATGGAATTTGGTGTCTTTAGGTATTGTGCTGCTAGAAGAACTTCATACTATGGTCTTTTCCCTTCCTGTACAGGTGCAAGGTGACTATTATGGGGAGCAGCCAGCCCGCCTGGGTTATTTTCCCAGTGCCGTGGTCCAGGAAAACCAGTACCTGAAACCAGGCAAGATTGAAGTGAAAACCAGTGTAAGGGCACTTTTATATTTTCTTGATATGGCAGGACAGCTATGGTAAACAGATCCTGAATCTCAACTGGTGTATGCATGTATATGTGCCTTCAAGTCGCTAAGTTGCTGTTGCTTTAGAGCCCTAAATACCTTTTCACCACAAACCACACTCTGTTCAGGCAATCCAGTAAGCAAAAGTGAACAGGGGCACAGACAGCAAAAAAAATTAAAAATTAAAAAAATTAAAAAAAACACTACAGGAGTGATGACCCTTCCCTATGCTATCCAAAACCAAAACCACAACAACATCTGTTATAGAATTCCAATATGCTGATGATAATGTAATCTGTGCACATTCAGAAGATGACCTACAAGCCACTGTAAACACCTTTGCAGAAGCATAGAGTAAATAAATAAATAAATCAATAAGATGTCCTATTTTTTTCTCTTTCAGAGGTGGGATTTCTACTGCCAGTAATGTGAGCTGCTTGGATCGGAAAAATCCCTTGGATTGACCATGCCAGCCTTGGAGAGTGGGTTAATCTCCCACCACCCTTATTTTGATGAAGGCAAACTCACCTTTCTAAATGCTTTGTTGCTAACTGCCTTCAAATTGACTTTGATTTATGGCAACCCTATGAAGGAGAGACCACCAAATCACCCTTTTAAACCCACTTTAAAAGGCCTCAATCCCTCCCATGACATCATTTCTCACACACCTGCTTTTCCTCTCCTTCAAATTGACTTTGATTGATGGCAACCCTATGAAGGAGAGATCACCAAATCACCCTTTTAAACCCACTTTAAAAGGCCTCAATCCCTCCCATGACATCATTTCTCACACACCTGCTTTTCCTCTCCTTCAAGTTGCCTTTGATTTATAGCAATCCTATGAAGGAGAGACCACAAAATCACCCTTTTAAACCCACTTAAAAAGGCCTCAATCCCTCCCATGACATCCTTTCGCACACACCTGCTTTTCCTCTCCTTCAAGTTGACTTTGATTTATGGCAACCCTATGAAGGAGAGACCACCAAATTACCCTTTTCTCAAGTCTTGCAGATTCAAGGCTGCCATGGCTTTTCCAATTGAGTCCATCCATCTGGAATGCCATCTTCTTCTTTTCCTACCACCTTCCATCTTTCCAATAATTATTGCTTTATCTCATATCTTCACATGATATGACCAAAGTATAACAGCCTCAGATTAGTCAGCCTTGATTTACTCTTGGACAAATGGTCTAGATCAGGTATGGGCAAACTTCGGCCCTCCGGGTGTTTTGGATTCCAACTCGCACAATTCCTAACAGCCTCGGGCCCTTTCCTTTCCCCCCTCAGCCGCTTAGGAATTGTGCGAGTTGGAGTCCAAAACATCTGGAGGGCTGAAGTTTGTCCATGCCTGGTCTAGATGCTCTTACTATTAGTTTGTGTATGTGAGAGGAATGGATAGTTGATTGTGATCTCCGCCCCATGCCAAATGCAAAGATAAACTAATCTCAAAGTATTTGAAACATCCCATTGAGGCCAATACATTTCTAAATACAGAATGAGATATTTTACAATAAAACAAGTCAAGAGAATATTGCAAAAATATATACAAGCAAAGCTGTTTAGCCTATTTACTAGTTTTATTCTATAGTTACCAATAACTCCAATGGTAAGGCTTCATTGTGCATAAATGCAGCATCTCTCCATGCATATCAGATAAGCTGTACTTTGGGAGGAATGGAGACCAATGGATCCGTATCTCAAACTAATCAGCCAATAAAGCTTCATCAAAGGAAAATGCATTGTTATTTATGACACCCTGACTGTTATAAAGCGAGAATAGATGGAAAGAACAGGGCAGGCATTGCAGCTCTTTTTTTCCAAATGGCATGGCAAAGAAAATACAGGCCGTCCCCGAGTTACAAACATCTGACTTACAAACTACCCATAGTTAAGAACGGGGCTGAGACCACAGGAAGTGAGAGAAATCTACACCTCAGAAGGGAAATCCACTTCTGAAAGAGTGATCGCAGGGAAAAAGGATCTCCACTGAAACTTTTTCACCAATCCTTGTTTCCACAACAAGCCATATTATTCAAAATCTAATTCTCACAGGGACAGAAAGGAAGGTGAGCAATTCCGAACAGGGCATAGATAGCAAACAAACACCACAGGGGTGATAACACTTCCCTATGCTATCCAAAACCAAAGCCAAACAACATCTGTTACAGAACTCCAATATGCTGATGATAATGTAATTTGTGCGTATTCAGAAGATAACCCATAAGCCACCTTTACAGAAGCATACAAGAAGCTTGGCTTCTCATTGAACATTGAGAAAACCAAAGTGCTCTTCCAGCATCACCAGCCAGTCCTTCTGCATTGCCAGAAATACAGCTTAATGGTATATCATTGGAAAATGTTGACAATTTCTGCTACTTTGGCAGCCACCTCTCCACAAAAATCAACATTGACACTGAAATACAACACTCCTTGAGCTCTGCAAGTGCAGCATTTTTCCGAATGAAGCCGAGAGTGTTCGAGGATCGGGACATCTGTAGGGATACTAAGGTGCTTGTTTATAAAGCTAGTGTCCTCTGGAAGATGGCCATACAGCCCAAAAAACTCACAGCAACCCAGTGATTCCTACCATGAAAGCCTTCCACAACACGTAGCAAATAGGCATGTGCAATCTGTGGTTCTAAATGGTTCTAAAGCACTTACGAAACTAAAATTCTGGTGGTGGAAACTAGGAGGCGCTGGTGCTTTGCTTCTACAGTGTTGCTAAAGTTCTGGTGGTGAAAATTTCAGAACTCTAACAAAACTTTCAAAATTTCATTATAAATGGCAGTTCCTAATTGGTTCTGTCATAAAAATCATCAATAATGATATAATAATGAAATTTTGAAAGGTTGGTTCTTCAGATGCTCTGCTATGGCTGATTTCTCTGGTTGAAGTAGTCTGTAGTACCTTTCATGTTCCTTGATTTGTGTTTGGCATTTATTTGAAAACACAGAAATGCTGGACCACTCTCACAACCACCATGTCAGACTACACAGAGAAGCCATTGAAACCCACAAGCATGTGGACAATTTCAACAGAAAGGAGGGAACCATGAAAATGAACAAAATCTGGCTACCAGTATTAAAAAACTCTAAAATTACAACAGCACAACAACAGAGAGGAAACAAACAAGGGCATCTAATCACCTGAGGAGCCCCCAGTGGCGCAGTGGGTTAAAGCCCTGTACCGACAGGACTGAAGACCGACAGGTCGCAGGTTCGAATGCGGGGAGAGTCGGTTGAGCTCCCTCTATCAGCTACAGCTCCTCATGCGGGGACATGAGAGAAGCCTCCCACAAGGATGATAAAACATCAAATCATCTGGGCGTCCCCTGGGCAATGTCCTTGCAGATGGCCAATTCTCTCACAACAGGAGCGGTCGCTCCCGACACAACAAAAAAAATAAATCTAATCACCTCTCAACAAAAGTTTGCTGCAGGCACTTTCAGGCTATTATATGCTAATCAAGGTGGTCAGTTGAAACATTCACACCTAGCTCCAGCAGACAAGAGTACTTTGTCCCACCCTGGTCATTCCACAGATATATAAACCCTTTTTCCTAGTTCCAACAGACCTCACTACCTCTGAGGATGCTTGCCATAGATGCAGCGAAACGTCAGGAGAAATGCCTCTAGACCATGGCCATATAGCCCGAAAAAACCCACAACAACCCTGTGTTTGATCTATTCCCCCATTCTGCTTTATCTCAAGACTCCAGTAACTGAAGAGGAGTGAATTCTGCAAACGTTTAGTGACGTTTGTTTAGTTTTGGGGGCATTTTACACTCCTGAGTCAAAAAGGGTTACAGAAAACAGTTCTTAAATGAACTCAGAGAAATGGAGTTGTAGAACAATTGCTGTGTGACAGCGATGGTGTTAGTAGTCGCAGTTTTGCCTCCGAAGCCTTGAGAAATGTAGGTCACCCTTCCTCTCCCTCCTTGGCACCCCTCGGACAGCGGTTAAGCAATGCCGGATTTGTGCCCGGTCCTGCCGCCTGGCAGAAGTCCCACTTTCTTAATCTGCTGCTATGACCCAGTTCCCAGACTTGGCAAAAGGCCTGGATGGCACCAATTCCGGGCTATTACCAGGTGGAGGCAGGCAAGTTTGAGTCAGGGGATCTATCCAACTTGGCACAATGGTTTGGGGTCTTTATTTTGCCCTGCTGCCCACAAAAGTGTTGTTCCCTGCTTCTAGGGAGATGGGCATTACTCTTGGTGTGGGGATTGAGAAGCTGTCTTCTCCCCTTGGCTTTCTCCCTCTACTTTGGCCCCTGCCTTTGCCCTGCTTCCCAAGAGCTGGTATCTGCTTCCAAAGCTGACTCACGTGAGCAAGGCCACAGGGCTATTAGCTGCATCTGAGCACAGAACTGCTATTCAGCCTTTGAACCTGAATGTTTCCTGGGATAAAGGGCACTCCTGAGTCTGTTGCCCAGGCAAAGCTGGGAACAAAGACACACCACATAACCCTCTAACGCAGTGTTTCCTCAACCTTCTGATGCCGCGACTCCTTAATACAGTTCCTCATGTGGTGGTGGTGAACCCCAACCATAACATTATTTTCGTTGCTACTTCAGAACTGTCATTTTGCTCCTTTTAGGAATCGTAAAGTAAATATGTGATAAGCAGGATGTATTTTCATTCACTGGACCACATTTGGCACAAATACCCAATATGCCCAAATTTGAAATCTGATGGGTTTGGGGGGGATTGATATTGTTATTTGGGAGTTGTAGTTGCTGGAATTTATAGTTCACCTACAATCAAAGAACATTCTGAATTCCACCAACAATGGAACTGAACCAAACTTGGCACACAGAACCCATGACCAACACAAAATACTGGAAGGGTTTGGTGGGCATTGACCTTGAGTTTGGGAGTTGTAGTTCACCTACATCCAGAGAGCACTGTGGACTCAAACAATGATGGATCTGGACCAAACTTGGCACGAATAATCAACATGCCCAAATGTGAACACTGGTGGAGTTTGTGGGAAATAGATCTTGACATTTGGGAGTTGTAGTTGCTGGGATTTATAGTTTGCCTACGATCGAAGAGCATTCTGAACTTCATCACCTATAGAATTGGGCCAAACTTCCCACAGAAAACCCACATGACCAACAGAAAATATGTGTTTTTGATGGTATTTGGTAACTCCTCTAACACCCCCCTCACGACCTTCCCCAGGGGTCCTGACCCACAGGTTGAGAAACACTGCTCGAACGTTTCACAGATGAGTTGGACACTTCAGCATGGATCATAGAGTTGGAAGAGACCTCATGGACCATCCTGTCCAACCCCCTGCCAGAAGTAGGAAAATTATATTCAAAGCACCCCGGACAGGTGGCCATCCAGCCTCTGTTTAAAAGACTTAGATGGAGGGTTAGAAGGCATGATTATCAAGTTTGCAGATGACACCAAATTGGGAGGGATAGCCAGTACTCCAGAGGACAGGAGCAGGATTCAAAACGATCTTGACAGATTAGAGAGATGGGCCAAAACCAACAAAATGAAGTTCAACAGTGACAAATGCAAGATACTCCACTTAGGCAGAAAACATAAAATGCAACGATACAGAATGGGGGACGATTCTGGCTTGACAGCAGTACATGTGAAAAAGATCTTGGAGTCCTCGTGGACAGGAAGGTGAACATGAGCTAACAATGTGATGCGGCGGCAAAAAAAGCCAATAGGATTTTGGCCTGCATCAATAGGAGTGTAGAGTCTAGATCCAGGGAAGTCATGCTCCCCCTCTATTCTGCCTTCGTTAAACCATATCTGGAATACTGTGTCTAATTCTGGGCACCACAATTGAAAGGAGCCTCCACCACACTCTGGGGCAGATAGTTCCACTACTGAACAGCTCTCACAGTCAGGAAGTTCTTACTAATTTTCAGATGGAATCTCCTTTCTTGTAGTTTGAAGCCATTGTTCTGCTTTCAAGTCTCCAGGGCAGCGGGGAAAAATTGCTCCCTCCTCTCTATGACTTCCTCTCACATATTTATACATGGCTATCATGACTCCTCTCAGCCTTCTCTTCTTCAGGCGAAACATGCCCAGCTCTTTAAGCCGCTCCTCATAGGGCTTGTTCTCCAGACCCTTGATCATTCTAGTTGCCTTCCTCTGGACACATTCTAGCTTGTCAATGTCTCCCTTCAATTGTGGTGCCCAGAATTAGACACAGTATTCCAGATATGGTTTAACGAAGGCAGAATAGAGGGGGAGCATGA